AGCATGACTTTGTCGCCCGAACCTGGACGCAAACAGATTACTTTATCCCAAAGGGACCGAGGAAGACAGTTGGTCTTGACGTCGTCTGCTTCCAGGGTTTCCCCTCCAGCCCTCCCCCCTTCTTTCTTTCAAATCCCGCCATGGACTGTAGCTTCAAGCTCTTTCTTTGTTCTTGGCAAGTAGCTGATGTTTTTTTTCCCACAAGACAGGGCATGTAATCAAATCTGCCTACTTGCTCGCCCTAGGTGAGTGAAAAGGCAGCTTGTTATTTGGCCCGTAGGTACTCAATCCCTTGAATCTAAATCAACATTTAGTTGAGGTGTGATGGACATTTTTAATTCAAGGCCTCATCACTGCCTGTCAGTACTCTGCAATGCCGGCTCAGCACAGATGCTCAAAGCTGAGGCAACAGTGTTACAGACGGGCATCACAGATCTCTCATTTACAGGCAGAAGAAGCCAGCTAATAGAAACCACACTAACAACAAACCTTGGACAACATTTCTACCAAATCCAACATTTTTAAGTATGCTGTTTTTCGAAAAAAAGAACCCTATCAAATGTCAGCAAACATCTGTTAGCTATTCTTGTTGTCATTAAAGATTTACTTTTTCCTGGAAGTGTCTTCTTGTTTTGTTCGGTTTTTAACCCCTATTACCCTAGTTCTGTCATTTTAAATGAAGGGTCATTTTTATTTATGCTGACCAATAACATGCTGACACTCTATAATATGTCCAAAAAAAGAAGTGATAATGTAGTCTGTCAGATACAGTACCAGAGCAAAGGGAACTGTGCCTATGTTTGTACTTTTTATGCAGTTAGTCAGTCAGGAGCCACAGTGTGACATTTTCAGGACATGTTCTGTGACTTCTCAATTATGTGTCTAATTTGTTCATGTAAAACTGGCTTGTATGGTGAATTAGTGCTTATGTAAATGAGTGGAACAGGAACCATTTATCCTCTTCTCAACCACTCTAGGTTGTTTACTTGCAGCTCTCCATTTTATTTCCACTTACAATAAGGGAAAACTCATAATGTTGGTGTGATGGGTCTTTTGTTATCAACATAATGTTAACATAGTCCATACAATGCTTATTTGGCCTCGCTATTGCCTCACAGTATGAAAACATATTTATTAGACTATTTGAAACAATATAATGTAATTTGCTGCAGCCAACTTTAAAACATTTTTTAACGCATTCACAAACACCACTTAACATTTGTAGCTAATAAAGAAATTAAAAGTGAAGCTGATGAAGAAAAACTAAAACTGACATTGTATGTCAACATGAAGCTTTTGCAGTATGTGGAGCTCAATTTAACAAATTAAGTTTATAGACAGTTTGAAAATAATCAAAGTACATTTCAAGCTGATGCCCTAAAATGGTCACAGTAGTGGTGCAGCCTAAATGGTACTATGCACGATTGAACACGTGGAAAACGGATGTCTGTGATTTGGTGAACTAGTCTCCTATCTTTTCTGGAATGCACTGGAGTTTAGGGAAGACAGAGCAGATGGTCCCTAGACATGTGACGTTACTAAATGGCAGATTGTGTTCTCCTCGTTAGCTGTGGCCAGAGCGCTGCAGACAACCGGGAGAATGCTTGGGGAAGAAAAGTATCATATTGTAAGTTATTCAATGTTCTCAGATACTGGCACAGTCTGACAACATTTGATTTCCCCAAAAGCTGCGGCACCAACAGCAAATTGGCCGTCATTTATTTTGGCTGCACACTCGTTAATTTGATAAGCATTTGAGCAGTTTTCTCTAATATGTTTAATATGTTTCCAGTTAAATAAAAGTGCCCATTAACTCTGGAATTCGGCCATATAGTGTTGTTAATACGGTAATTGTCTTGGGTTCACTCAGGCATTGAAATTCATTATCTATTTAATGGAATCGGCGTGAAGAATTAAAGCAAACAAATGTGATTATAAGCACTTTTCATGAATTGAGTCCATTTTCTGTCCTCCCTGATGTTTTCTACTCTCCCTCATTCCTTACATCTAAATGGAAATCATCAACATCCATAAACATGTCTTCTCATGGAATGGGAAATGGGGGGGGACTGATATAAGTAGATGAAGAAGACAGGGAATGGAATGGCTCTTCTATACCTCATTTACCAGCAAACCGCTTAGCGAGGCCATTGGCATTTCCGGGGTCAAGAGGGCGAAATGAATGTTCTTCATATCCTATGGTGACTCATAAAAAAGAGACCAGTGGCACATGCACACACACACTCAAGCACACATGCTGGTGCACAGTTTTGCCCAGTCGGAGTGATTTATACCAAGACCTCCTGGGCGACAGTCATGGGCCGTTGACTCTGTCACAGCAGAACAAGAGAGGAATAACTTTATTGATGTGGATATTGAGCAACAGACATTAGCACAGAGGGCCAGAATAACAGGAAACCAGCCTTGACCTATGCAGTGAGTGAGGGAGGGAAAGGGAGATGGCAAGGGAGTGAGGATGGCTTTCCATCTTGATTTGCTAGAAAAGTTGCAGTCCAAAGCTGAGCAGGCTAAGAAACAGAGAAGACAATGTTCCAGGCATGACACAGACCACCTAAATCCTAGTGTCTTTACTGTTAGCATGAAAGACTAATAAAGGGCAGTGGTACGATCTGTTACTTCCACAGAAAATGGGAGAAAAATAGATTTTAATTGGACACAAACAATAGACCTATCATTCCAACAATAAGAACCATTGGATATAACTCTGATCAATAAAATCATATCTCATCCGCTGCTCTTTTTCCATCAGAGATATTGTGGTTAATAATTGACCATAATAGCAACCCAATTGCATTGTGGGGACAACAATAAGCAGAGAAAGGGCTGATTATGAAACATGTTCTACTGTAACTGTGGGTTTACTAGCAGTTTTGTGTTGCATTCATTACTTTCCATCCCTATCTCAATTCTCCTCCACCACTTGTGATGAGAGTGCAGTAACCAGGGTCTTTGATTCATGCTGCTTCTAAATAAGGCACATCCTGTTGACCTTCCAAACTTTGCAATTTCCTTTTAACCCTTTCCTCTCGATTCCTCTTTCTTTCTCATTCCACTTTTTTGTACTCCCTATCTCCTCTCTGAGAGATTGTGGCCTGCTGACTCAACAGACCCAGACATATAATAAAAGTCAATGGACCGGCATGTCATGCAGCATTTGCTTACTAAATTATTTGTTTCTGTTATGATATCAGTCTTGCTCGCTTATATGCTTCAGCAGCAGATGTTTTTGAGGTGATTGAGTTCTGCATAGTAGATGCTTGGCTTGGGCGTATATTGCTTATATTCATCTTACTGAAGATATGCTTATCTAATGTCATGTCTCCCCTCCTCATCGTATGGCTCTGCTTGAGTTGACTCGGCTGGCTTTGGTTCTGGGTGATTTTCTTACTTTCATTACTGCTGATAGTTTCCTCTCTACTTTGACGGCCATAGCGCCATGGTGTGGGACATTCCCTGAATCTATTATTTGGCAACTAAATCATAAAAAAACTGTTGCTATTGACGATAGCTTGGCTTTTTAGAAATGTGTACAGGACGTTGCCTGAAACAATCACTGTTCTGCAATTTTTTAACCTCCACTGAAGTCGTAGCAAAACAAATGTCAAGGTATTATCCATAACTGTTAATCCATATCCAAAACGTATTCAAAAAAATCAAAAAGGCATGTAATTTTTAAACATAACTGTACAATGCAGCGGAAATGCAACCTAAGGCTTAAGAGCAGTACAGATTAGTTCTGACTGATCCAATTGGAGTTGGGGCTGCTCGATTATGGCAAAAATCATTGCAGGTCTCCCTTGAAAAAGAGATCGTTGATCTCAATGGGATTTTTTAACCTGGTTAAATAAAGGCTACAAACAAACAAACATAATCTCGATTATTTGGGTCAATAATTGATATCACGATTATTAAAAACGATTATCCATTTACTTTGAAAACATACATTTATTGGAGAAAAAATGTAGACAGTATGTTTTTAACAGTTGATTACCCTGAACTTGAAGTATAATTCAACTGAAAAACCAATACAAAAAAAAAAAAATAATAGTAATAAAAAAAGAATCGTTTTATTTCGATTACGTTGTTTTCGTAATCGTTGCAAGCCATAATCGTAATTGCGATTAAAATACGATTAATTGAGCAGCCCTAATTAGAGTCCATTCCAAAATGAAGTTTTAGGTTTTGCAGATTAGAGACGACGTCAGCCATGGTGGTTGCCACCAAAACTGCAATACCACAACATTTGCATAATGCCACAGTCATCTTCAATCATCTAATGAGATGTGCCAGGAAAGAGATCTCTGATTGAGTTTGAAAAAAGTCACCCTTTAAACTTAATCTTTACTGTTTTTCTTCATGAAAGAGGAAGTTTGCTGGAGAATATTTTGTCCCCGCCAACTTTTGACAGGCTAGTGAGCACATATTTTCTTTCAATCTGACCCAATAGAACAAACACACACATACTGTAGCTCGTGTCAAACGCCAGGCATTTATTCCCAACCTCATCCATGACCGCTCAGCCTCGGCTCGATTAATTCAGCCTCCAGAGGGACGGATCCCCAGGTTAAACAGCAGGCTCATAGCACAGAGCAGAGTGAGCAGGCTTGATGAATGACTGCAGCCCGGGATCCTGACACGCCTGATAAACGTGAACCGGCAGATTCGTTTTTAAACAATGTAGTCCTACCCTCACATTTAACATCCATGCTCTGAGACCAGGGAAAAGCTTTCAAAGTGACTAATAACAAATGTAGCCCCTTTCAGAAAAGGATTCTCTAAGATCGCTGAGTTAATCAATCTTTTAAAAATAATGGTCATATCCAAATATGACAGGATGTTTGTGGATTGAGCCATAATCTCGCAGTACTTGGCCTTTGACACACACAAAACTAGATAATGTTGGAGGCAAGAGGTTATTTAGTTGAACTTGACTATTTGTTGCTGACACTGCTTAACCATTTGTACTTAATTCCTTTCAGCCTCAAGCCAGACGTGCGATCCAATAGAGGTTAATGACAACCCATGGGTGTACGTGACTGAGGAACTAATTGGCTGTTGGACCAGCTTCATCGGACAGGACAACGAAGAGGTCCACATCCTCAAACTCAACTTTGACCCCTCGGTAAGCATGTCAAGGTCACACAAATGAGATGCTGAGAAACTAGAGCTAATTAAGTAGAAGAAGAGAAAAAAAGCAATGCTATGCTAGTGAAAGAGCAGTATCTTAACTTAGCAGTGCGATTCAGCAGGCAAATAAAACCTGCTCAGTAGACCAGATGACAATTGCAAAGCTAAACTGCAAGAGAACATGGAACGGTTAAACTCAACACCATGGCTTTCTGTCAGGCTGACAACACAGCTTACAATCCAATACTGTGCATGGGTATGTTATCATCCGGTAATTAATCATCCTTTGCTCTGGACAGTACAATGTGTCATGTCCAGTCAGACCTAAAAGGAAGAAGCAGTGTGCTTGTCTATGCATTGCATACATGTTCACCTTGTATGTACTGTATTTTATGCCTTCTAGATAATAAAAAAAGGTCAATCATTGTTACAAACACAGGGAATCAGTTTGAGTTCACAGTGGTAACAGAGATTCAGGGACTTTGTTTTCAGGGCTTACTGCTGTGGCTTACACTTGAATACAACTCGACTCAATAAAATGTCTGCTGTGGAAAAAGGCTTACAGTATAAAAGCTGGTTTGTCAAAAAAAAAAACATGGAAGACCTGGCAGAGATGGACTGATAGCTCCCCTCTGTATAAAGGGATACCACTTGCATACAAGGAGCAGCTGGATAGGCAGGGGAGTTGGACATGTGATGAGCTGAGGCAGGAAGACACTGACGCTTGGCAGACAGGAGAAACATGGCAGATGTAGAATGAGAGGTTAGTGTGCACAACACGGAGATTAATCGGAGTCAGCAGAGGCGAGAAGTAAGGACAGATAAGATACGTCTACTTGTTTTAAGGAGTACAACTGCATGTTGAAAACAAGCCTTGAAAAGCCTTGTTTGGCTCCAAAGGCAGCTGTGCGTGAACAGTTTTGAAAAAGAAAATCTGATAAAGTGTCAGTGAGAGGACTACAGGTGAAAATATCCTATTGCGTTAAAAAAGTGAGTTTACCAGAAATCTTTAGCTTGATTCTTATGTTTGAGGTTAGCTGCTAACAGCCACTTAGCATATGCAAGTGAAACAAACAGATATCTGTATGAGGCGATGGTTGCATTGTTGGTATGGCCCAGGTTTTTATCCCAAATAAGACTTTGTGAGGATATCTATGGTGCTGCGGCATACATTCTTTCCCTTTTTTGTGTATATCTAAAGTCTGATAATGTTATCAAGGTCTTATGCTAAATCTCTAATCTCTAAATCTCTATAATATGCTAACTGCTCTTAAGGCTCACAAACTGTAACTCCTTAAATACATGCAACACATCAAATGTTCCCACACTTCAACATGTAAACACACTCACTCCATGTCCAACATTTATCAGACAAATAACAAGCTAACCCTTAACAGATGCCAGACATACAACCAAGACAGGGTCCCCCACCATGCTGGAGTTTTTCTTTTCTTTTGACACTAAACAGACGTTATGACAACCCAGCTCTGGCTGTGTGTTCCAATCATTTATTTTTCAGCTAAACAATCACACACCATAATTGCAGAAAGTGTTTTGCGGGTTTTTTATGGTACAACTTTAAGCTATGGGAATGACACCGGACTGGAACTCCAGAAAAGTTGTAATCTATATGTTGTTATTGCTGTGCCAGACCGCATTTTTCACTGTCCAACATTGTCGGTCAGCTCACATTAGTCATTTCTTTATCAGTGTATTCTGTTTGGTTGCTTTTACTGTTTGTTCTCACTTAGGGTTCATTTTGTAGTACTTTCACATAACTTGTGTTCAGCAACTGTCTTTTATTTATTGTCTCTTTTCTTTCACTCTGCTGGCCATTCTTTCTCATTCGAAAGCTATATGAGGAGGGAGGCTAAATGAATCTGACAGTGAAGAAAATTGAATTTTTGTTTTCATGTTGAGACTTCTTATGCAACTGGTGAGCCTCACATAAACCAAGATCTATAAAAGAAGTTTTGGCTTTCTTCGTTTTGCTTTGAAAATGAGTTCTAACATTTGCCTTAAAGACTGTTGGACTATTTTGCCAAGTATTTATTCTCATTTATTGGACTGCCGTGTTGCAGCATGGGCTGGAAATCAGAAGAAAAAAAGCCTGTTTGATGACAAAACAGATTGAACGTTTATTAAGAGGGAAATGCTTCTCATCTTTTTAGGCCTGAAGAGTAACACCAGGGGCCTAATGTCATGTGGGAGAATAAGAAAAGAAAGTTAGAGGAAGGAGTTAGAGTTCCTACGAAAATATTCCAAGTTGTCTTACTAAAGAGTATACATTGGTGTGGGGGTTTCGGGAGTTCACAAAAGGAATTTGGCTTTGGATCTGTGTGATGCAATGGATGTTGTACAGAGTTTGCATATCCTGCTCTCTTGTGGGACTACGAGTGATCGTTTTATCAAATGAAAAAGTGGACATAAGATCTACATAAGATCTACTAACAGAGTATCTGCTCACCACTGTCTGTTTAGAACAGATTTGTCTTGTAAACATTGAGGAAGGGGAACGTCTTCATCTTATGCCAAACTGTCCCGTCAGATGGGAGGTTTGCTCTTTCCTCCCCCTTTCTTTGTCCTTTCCATTTTCTTATCACCTGTCCTTCTTTCCCATCTCTTTTGTGTTTCCTTCTGATTTATAACCTGCCAGAGACGGTTGACTCTCACAGTTTGACCGCTCAGAGAATTATAGAGGGAGCATCAGGGGGCTGCATAAGCCAGGAGAATTCATAGGGAGGAGCTGCCCGTTGATGTTGCACAGTGGCGTGGGGTAGTCAGGGTCTTGGCACAAGGCCGAGACTACACCAACGGAGCCAATTGGCGTTAAGGTGTTAAGCCAAAAGAATAACTGGAAACTGCTTCAGCAAAGGCCCTTCAAAAAAATGCTTTCGAGTAAAAAAAAAAAAAAAAAAAGAAAAGGCTGAATAGAAAAACAATTGTATCTTGAAGGCGCAGGAAGACAAATAGAAAGGTGAGTGATCAGGGTCAGCAACAGTCATGATTCAGAGTTCAAAATGAAAGAATGAAAGTCACAAAAGGGTGAAGGGGGGGAAAGTAGACGGAGAGACAATGAAGCTCATTAGAAAGGAGTATTTAAGGAAAGCACCACAGACTTATCTCTGTATGAAGCACAATGAACTCCACAGGAAATGCCATTCATTCATTTACTTAATGTACGTGCCACGCGTTCTGGCTTTTAAAAAAAGTGTTCTTCCCGGGAAGACATTGTGTCACCACAATTGAAAATCTTACACTCTATTTGTGATAATATCGGGGTTTCAGTGGTTTTTTGTTCCTTCTGTCTTCAGATCCACTGTAGCTATATTTTCATGACTCAAAACATTTTACTTAAGCGGGAAAGCAAGTGTTGTTATAAAAATGTTTAAACAACAATAACAAGCAAGGCAACATGTTTTATTCACTGACGATCAAGGCTACTGGTCTTCAGTATTGTATGACATTGACAAATGTCATGTTTTTCGCTTTCTTCAAAGAAGAGACTCACATTTATGAGGTGCAGCTGCAGTCTTGCAAGACTCCTTCTGTACAAAACATTGATGATATAGTGTGTGTGTGAATGATGACAGAATCCTCCATCCATTGCAGTTGGTGTGCAAGCTTCTCTTCCAGATGCATCTTTGTTTAGCTTACAGGCAATTTATTGATGGTCCCCTCAGACCTCATTTGTTCTGTACAGGTTCTGAAAATGTTTCATACTGTAGCTCAAGCCTGAGCTCATCACAATTCTCTTGGAGCTCAGGCAACATCAGGTAGCAAGTAAATGCATTTAATATAAGGGATTCACACTGTTTTCCCCAGCATGCTCATCGTCTCCCCAGCAGGCCCAGCTCTGAAAACAATCTACCTTCAAATAAACAGACTGAAGTATTTAGTGTCAAAAGACATCACGTATAGAAATAGGCAGACTTTTGCATCTTTGAATGTTAATCTCCTATGAAATCTCTCACAGTAGAGAGAGCGTTTTTTAAGATGTTGTTAATTTCCAATCCATTGAGTCATTACATTCAACTGATTTCAAATCCATGACTCTTCTCTTAATCCAATTATCTACAGAAGTAAACGTAATTAGGACTAGGATTTATTGGAATCATGTCAGGCTTAGAAAACCCCCCTCTAAACTCGCTTATTATTCCACAGTGAAAAAGGTTTACTCGCCACCACTTACACCCATAAAACGCAGCAGTACCAGCTTCACCCTACGCACATGTGGAGCATGGTAATTAAGGCTGATTCATAGACTGACTGTGGTGGTGATTACCGAATCACATCGCCATTGTATTACCTTCAGTTGATAATAGGGCTAATGAGGTATTACATTATGTGTTAAATTATGTCAATGAGTGTTTTATATACGGCATGTAGCTACAGCCAAGATCAGCCACATGTGGGAGGATATACTGGGTTTCAAGTTATACGAAAGGCATGAATTAATAATTGGCCTACTGTACCATAGAAAATTATAAGTGACACGACATGCATTATTATTAATGTATTTACAAGGTTGTACTGTTTACTCATCATTTTATCATTACTCCAGAGTACTTTCACACTGTCTTCCACAGTTTTAATGTAACAAGGTCATACAGCATAAATATATAAAAAGTGCAGCTCACTGCACATCGGGTTAATAATTGATTTTGATAGCTTTTTATTTGCTTTTGACTTTTTCCCTTGTTGACTTGCACTGCATGGGCATATACGAATAGAACCAAGCTGTATTACCTCATTAATGCCTGAGTCAACACGGAGGCTGATGGCAAAGACAGTTTCCTGTCTGTCTACAATCTTTACTCAATTGACTGGCATTGCTTTTTCTGGAGAGATGCATGTGTTGACATTTTACAGTTGCAAAAACACGGATAATTGCCTCATCCCCCACAATAGCAATAGGCCAGAACTTGAATCAAACTTATATAGAATTTACCTGAACTTTGTTGACACTTTGTGTCGCAAGCTAAATGTCACTCTGTATTAATAGCTTAAATAATGGTTATTTTATTCTGGGCAGTAAAGTATGAACCCGTCATGCGTTTTTAGTTTCCAAAACTGCCCACGTAAATGTGCCCACACACTGGGCTTTATGCTAACACAGTTTACTATTCTGTGAAAGGAGCAAGAGGCATTGCTTGGAGTCAAAGTTGTTCTTGAAACATTTCATAAAGTATTTTGATTTGTCTTGTTTGAATATGTCCTTTTTTTCCATTTATTTTCTGATGCAAGGTCGAGTAACACTTTTTTAATTTCTGATTTCTTTCAGGATTCCATCATGTTTTCTCTCGAAATGAACAACACCAAGCCAATGAACCTCATCCTCACATCATCAGCCACATACTTTGCCCTACACTACCTGCACCCTGATGTTAAACTTTATGTGAGTAGCTTCTCTTTGTTTTGCTACATCTGGCCGTGCTCACACCTCACACCTTTTTCTGGTCGCAGAGTTATTGGATATGTGCTGAGCTCTTTTTGTGAAGGGTTGCCATTGACACAAAAGATTGTCTAACAAGATCACACTAATCATTACGTTTTTTTCTGCAGTTTATAATTTTTAAATGTATCCAGATGTATTTAGCTTCTGTCAAGTGCCAGATGTTTTGAATACAGTCTGCCACAGCTGTGCAGCTCTGGATAGTGAAGCTTAAGAGAGACAATGAACCATGTCTGTTTTCTGTGGATATTCCCCAGTGGCTGCTCTGCACGAGGCAGTTTGTGTTTTTAGCTTTTATTTTCCACACTATAAATCTGTAAAAGAAGTTTGAGAGTTGCCAGCAACAAGCAGGGCTGATGGCATCGGCTGTAAAATTAATGTTCCAATGAAATTGGATATTCCGACTTTTACACACTATCTCCAGATTAAATCTATGAATTAAGTCCACGGACGCCAGGAAAATGCTTTATTCAGCTGCTTGAGTTTCTAGTTAATAGAGTAATAATACTGTTATTGGGAAAAGTGTTAGAGCAGTTGTGTTAGCTTTGTAATTGTAGTGTCAAACTATGTTGGTGTTTAAATTGGCATTGGTCTATAGAACAGAAAAGTCTTGTTTATGTGTAACAGTCTTTCAAGCTAAAAATGTGTAACATCACCAAGCTAAAAAAACAATTACCTTAAAAGGGACTTAGTTAAAGTAATGAGATTGAGTATTGATGTCATTGGTAAATGACCTCATTTATTCATTAAAAACTCTTATTGATTACTAACTAACTTAATAACTATAAATAAAGCTATATTAAAACTATTGAGTGTATACAGTTTTAAAATGACCGAGCTACAAATAATTTATAGGTTGCGTTATTTATTATATTATAATCTTTTCAAATCCTATCAGTCCATGTTGTGAGCAGTTTCAGCCTCCTGTGCTGTTGCAACAACTCAATATTATACATGGTAAAGGAAAAATCATAATGAATATTCCATCAGCTTTATTTCTTCCCACATACTGACAAAACATTTAGGATGGCTTGAAAACGTGTCTTTGGCAACACTTGAGATTTGACAGTCTGCTGCCAAATGGTAACCTTTAAAGGTCCCATGTCATGGCCATTTCTACTGATCATAATTCCATTGTTGAGGTCTACTAGAATAGATTTATATTGTGCAATTTTCCAAACTCACATTGGTTTCTCATACAGCATCTCTGTATAGCAGGGGTCGGCACCAGTAACCAGTGGCACACTAGGAATAAGTGGAATAAGTGTGCAAAATATTTAAATTTTATTTTCGGATCCTGAACGAGACCGCCGCCAGAGCACGTCTCCCCGTCACCTGCAGAAGGAAGCCATGCACGCAACGCAGCCCCGCTCTCTTTAACTCCAGGCGACTTTCTGCCGTTTTCCTCCGTAATGTAGTGCTGATAGTTTCACCACAGAGGAAAGCACTTCACAAATTGCATTACCCATAAGGAGCTGTAAAAATGCCGCAGTTTTTGCGTGGCGATCGATATCGGCCGATACTCACTCTCTGCCGATCGATCGGTGCTCTCTAAAAAGGCCGATCGCGAGACGTAAAATACATGACACTTTTCTCTGTGTGCGGCAAAACAAGCTCGCCAAAATGGCTTCACCAGTCTGGCAGTATTTTAAGGTGTCCGAAAATGACAATAAAATAGCGGTGCAACGTGTGTGATGCAGAAATCCTGCAGCTCCACCCGCTGTGACGGATCGGTGAGCGGAGCAAAACACACAAGAGTTAGACCTAACACACTTAGCTATTTGATCTACCTCTGGAACTAGTTATAAATATATGTATTCCTCACTGTCACTCATTACTGGATCAGTGAGCTGCATGAGATACTGACAGGCTGTCAGGAGAGAGAGAGAGGGGGAGAGAGGAAAAGAGAGCGCTTCCGCTCATTTCTCCCGTGTTATTATCCAAAGTTAATGTAAACTTGAATAATGTACTTCATTTGAATGTAACAATTATGTTGGTTGTTGTTTGTGGAAGTGCCAGTGAATGAGCCCCATTAACTGAGTTTTAAACATCACTTTTACACGAGCGTTTTCATCGAGCTCTCCCCCCCCCCCCCCCCCTTGATAATTCACGATCGTGGGCACGCTGATACATTTTTTTTTTTTTTAATGGCACTTCATATCAAAAAGGTTGCCGACCCCTGCTGTATAGTATGTGTATTGGTCAGCTCGCCCACTCTGTTCTGACGAGTCCACCACCGTTACAGCGGAACATCAGTGATTATGTGTTACAATGGTGTTGGCAACCAGAAAATGACACCAGTAATGACAAACAGATGTTTGGGACATTGCGCGGCTCGCTGCTGCGCGGTGCGGACAGTGTGAGCTGGGTTCATTTTCTGCTTGCTGTGTGGGGTCTGCGAGACAGCGAGACATCGCGAATGGACGCGGGAAGGGGGTGCTGAGGGGGCTGCAGCACCCCCATCTGCGAGGCTCCACTAGCACCCGCACCCCCAAACGTGGCGCACCTACAGTGTAAGCGCGCCACAGTTTCGCCACTGCGAGGCTCCACTATCACCCCCAATATTGATTTAATATTTACTGTGTTTTTAACCAATATGTCAATGTGCTTCAGACATGAATAAAAACTACGCAAAATAGAAGAAAACGCTATAAAATGCTTGAAAAATAGTCAACAGTATTGTGCATTATGAGCAGATGCACATAACAAGTAGAAAAACACAATACATTAATTAGAAATCACAGCTGACCACTTACAATGGTGAAATGTTAGGAGAATGTCATCGTGATATGCTGACAGCAGTGTGATACCACATCCTGTATCATGTCCTGTCGTGAGCCTGGACAACATTGCCTGTGACTGCAGGATGTTTTCGTGGGATGAGCAGTATCACTGGGGGATAATAGTGTTTTACTGCAGATTGCAGTGTAAGAGAAACAGCATCTGTTCTGTGTCTGAGAAAGTACGTCATTGGCTTGACAGCTTGGCTCAGTGTCACAATCGCAGCTCTTGTTGGGTTTCAAAATCTAGCCCGAGTACATAGACTTGTTTAAATAAACAACACACAACAAAAACATGTAGAAGGCACAATTTAGTCTATTACGTTTTGTGAGTTATTATACTTTTTAGTTAGTCGCAAAATAAGGGTTTCCACTTTAATTCACATATGCATTATGATATAATCACCTAAGATAAACCTATAATACTTTATGGAAGAATCTGAGGTCAATCATCAGGCGAAAATATGGGTCATATTATCTGAAACTCATACATCCATCCCAAAACAGACTATCAGGAAATAAGTATTATCAGAACTAACTGGAATATCTGGTAGACGGTGACGTATTTAAAAAAAACAACAACTTTGAGTTTCTTGAACTTTACTGTGAGCCTGCAAAATATCAAACTGATAGTCTAATCTGAGTTATGTCATCATTAAAATGTTTCCCTTGTTTCTTCCGGTCCTCTGCCTGGTTCTGTCGTGAGTGGCTTTCCCTCCTTTTATTTCTGGAGATTCCTTTCACGCTATTTTTGATCTTACGTCAATCAAATATTCATGTAGAAAGACCAATGACTCCCTCAGGCTTACTTGGCTTCCACCATTTGTTTCTGTCTTGCTTTGTGATGCAATAACTTGCGCACATAACTCACACACTAGACCGGCTAGGAGAGGGACTTTCATTATTTAAACAAACATACTCCAGCTTGATAAACATTAATGAGCTGATTTGCAGAAAATGCGGTCACACACGTGATGCTATGAGCTCAATAATGTTTAACTTAGTCCAAATAAATCTATGTTTGAGTTCAAACTTAATGAATAAAGTGATTTAAAACAAAGCATATTAAAACACAAAGTAAACTGGTGACCGATTACACTGCTTTAAAGGTCCCATGTCATGCTTTTCCGGTTATTACCCGTCCCCTTGTGTGTTATGAAGGTTTTTCTGCACGTAAACGGTCTCCAAAGTCACAAACCCTCAAAGTACACCCTGTAGCGAGTAAAACTCTAACACAGAAAATACCTGTCTATGCTGCCCCAGAACGCCTCGTTGGAGATTTCTCTTTTTCTTCCTGGTACTAAGTGACGTAACGACGACCCAAATGGATCCATTGGTCCAAATGGACCAATCCGTGGAGCCGTTACATTACGTCCGCGGAGCCGTTACGTTAAGCCCATGGATTGGTCCAAATTGACCAATCCGCGGACTTCCTCACACACACACACTCAATCTTTTCTCAGCTGCAGCTCCGCCGATTTCTCCTCCCTGAGACGGCGGGACGCGGCGAGGCTGTGAGTCGGTGTGTGAGCACACACACAAACTCCCAGCCAGGCTGCGGGTGTGTGTTCGGGCTGGGTTTCGCTGTGTCTCGCAGACGGCCACTGGGCGCATAGGGAGGGGGGGGCAGGAGCTCCAACAAGCCGTTTAGGACAGAGAGTGAATACACATACTATACAGAGATGCTGTATGAGAAACCAATGCGATTTGGGAAAATTGCACAATATAAATCAATTTTAGTATACCTCAACAATGGAATTATGATCAGTAGAAATGGCCATGACATGGGACCTTTAAATCAAATCCTATTGTACTGTCATGACAAAAGTTTCCTTCTACAAAAAAGCTGCTTGTGAGTGTTGATGAGAATGAGTGTTTACAAAATGAGTACTTATTCAGTACTTTATTTTTCACTTAGACCTTTGTTCTGCTGGAGAAGAACAAATCGGTGCCAATTTTATAAATCCGGTTGAAGGACTAACAATATAAAAACTGGAGCACATCATTATTTCCTTTCTTAAATTGTTATTTAATGAGTACATGTTTTTACATACTGTAGGTGTAACTGTCTACAAGCTTACTGTAAACGGTCTCCACTGCAATGTTCACAATACCCCCCCCCCCCCCCCCCCCCCCCCCCCCCTTCTTATTCATGCAAAGCTTAATGTAAACTCCATTATTTCCCATCGGCCCAGACGAGGAAATGGCAGTGTCTAGTCGATGGGATGGATGTATATATTTATACCTTGTATGGAGCCAGATTCCAGCCGACTGTGGTGACGCACAAAGCTAAAAAAGGTCCCATTTCCTGGCCCCACTCAGGAAGCAAAGGAAAGACCATGGCTCCAACAGGGTTGTGCGGGCTGTGCTCGTGGACACTTAACCATAATAAACATTTCTTTTTAACAGCACCCTGCTCAGAGAATAGAGGGAGAGCTGAGTGGAGGTCAAGAAAAAAGTAATAGAATCAAAGGGATGGGCATGTGTGATATGACAAAGTATGAACAGACATGATGTGTATATAAATAAATAAAAGGCTGACTCAATGTGGTGTTGTTGTAACAAACAGGCTCTTGTTTTATAACCTACAGTTGGTGATTCTGACTGGAAATAGTATTTAATGAAACACATTTTCATGACTTGCGCTCTACTTTCCAGGTACAAAATGACTCCAAAATTGGCCTTCATGCTAATGTACATCACAACAACGTCTACAAGAGAGACTTTCCCTCTGAAGATGAAGAGCTGGTCAAGTGGGCGAGTCAGGAGTTTGGGGGTGTAACTTCATTCACCACAATCCGAAACCTGAAAAAAGTGACGTCGACAGGAACAAAAGGTGAGCGTTGTTTTAGAAAATATATTTTTTACACTAACGGGGTTTCTTCTATTTACTTGTTGGTTGAATTAGCCAATTCGGAAGAAGTCAATTACAGTACAACTAGTAAGATGCCAAAAGATGAGGGAGGATGTATTTGGAAAGCATGATACTGCATTATCCATCAGATTGCCAAAATACTGTACACAACTTTCTGCCTGCTTTAAATAGTTTCAAAGTTATCAGCCCCACTATGATTTGTATCTAGAGTATGCTATCTGCATCTTTGTTTGGTCTAAGGCAGTATTTGTGTTGCCGAAGGGAGCAAAGGAAGTGCTGGGGCACAACATACAGCTTACATAATTCAGCAGAAAGTTTGCAGTACAGTAATCACTGCTGCATACTGTGTTTGTTTACACATACAAAGCTCGCTCTCTCTCTCTCTCTCTCTCTCTCTCTCAAAATAACATTTATCACTAACATGCTCTTATAAGTGTGTGGGAAATGTCCCCGTAGTGTGAATCACTGACAAAACACTGCTGTGATAAAGACCACATTGCATTAAAATAACATGTTTTCTATCAAATATATATATATATTTTACTCAACATGTTGATTTCCAATGTGCCCATGAGAATGTCTAGGACCTCAAAACTACACGTTATGAAGTGACTTTTAATAAAACATAACCTAGACAAGAACAGGTACACCGATAAATACATTTAAAAAAAAATGTAACCAGGAAATTGAGTATGTAGGATCTGATGACTGAATAGTGAGTACAGCTGCATTACATAAAGAATCAGACACCATTCTTTTTTAGAATAAGGTGTGTGTGGGCCAAAGACCCTCTAGAACAAATAAGAGTCTACTAAAGTATATTGCTATGTCGCAGTTCTTTACACTAAACACACGGAATACACCATATATAATGTACTTCTACTTTTCACATTTTACATGTACACACAGTACATATACTAATATTGACATTTATTAGACGTTTCCAGAGGAGAGCTATGTGTCATCCTTTACCCTATGCAGCAGTGAGCTAAACAACAGCTTGAGCAATAACAGCAACAAACTGAATTTAATAACTAGACTAGAGGATCTGTTTAGAATTAGTCAAACCTACCTTGGGGAAATGTGTATTTATTTAACCATTAACATACATATATATAGCATATTTCAAGCATGTGTTCTTTTGGTTTTGCAACCCAAGTGAAAGTGCTTTGTACTTTATATTGATGACAGATGCATGTTTGAAACACACATTCCTTAGAAACCCTCATGAAAGGCTAGACATCACAAAGATTATCATGTGTCTTTTGAGTATTTCTTTGCCATTAGGTGTTAATCTTCCTTATTATAATTGTCCTACCTTCTCCAGATGTGATGAAATGTTGTGTTTTGAGCCATCTGTGTTTTACTGACTCACAGTCAAGGGCATTTAATTCAAGCAGTGCCACAGAGTTGACGTTGCTATTTTGTTGTGTCCCTTGGCCCATATTGAGGTGTTAGGTGAACTTGTGTAGGCTTTGTGGTAGGCGTTTGAAAAGTCTGACTAAACAACAGTGCTTTGCTATGAAAGCTTGCTGAGGAGAAAATAAGGAAATGTCCCTCAGGTTGCTTTTAATGTCTCGATGTGAATTTAAGAGAATGCTATTGCTGGTATAAAGAGACTTTTCAAGGAGTGGGATAGACGAGAATATTTGTGAAGTGTCTATTTGAATTGTATCATAATGAAGTAAATGTTGATTGCACAATGTAACGGCTAGGGTTGGCTAACATATTAATACTATAGCAATAGCGTAACATGAGACTAGATATGGTCTTGATTTAAACATTACTAATGATTATTTCTACAAAAAATCTCACTGTGTGAATATTTTGTGGAAGCCGTCAACCCTATAATATTGTTGCAATAACGGTATCATTGTACTTCATAGATTTGGTGATGTTAGGTACGCATAGGCTTTGTAGACTCAAGCAAGATGGCAACACAGTTTTAAAGAAACTTATTTTAAAATATAAGTTACACAATATCCGGACTGATAATAAAAGATGATTAAATTGATAGGGCACTCAAAAATCATTCTATTTGCAAATATATTTCCACATGAAAGGAGATTGTTAAAAGTTTTTTCTTGGAAGATGGAGGAGGAGGATGCTTGGCTTAAATGCAACCCTCAATATATTCAGGGTATATTCGTTGTATTTTCCAAGCACTCATATTCTTGTCAAAATGTGGCTCAAATTGTTTCTCGGCATTGGCAGACTATTGGTTTGATAAGGTTATATGAGGTACTATTGTGGGCTATTTCCCCCCCATTTCCAGCATAATATTTTGGAATGAAAATGTGCGTAGCAATTTAAGCTCTGCAACAGGATGCACCTGCAAACCATCAGTCAGCATTATTTGGTCAAAGGCTGAGCGTAGTGAACTCTCATGAGACTGCTCCTGGAACTTCTCCCATAGCAGGAAAGGTAAGGTACTAATGTGCCTGTCCCGGCAGTTTGGTTTGATGCTGCAGGCTATCGCTTTCCAGTGTCGGCCACCCAGTAAAAGTCTGTAAACAGAACTTATTTCACCGATTAGCAACATTCTCTCAGAGCATCACTCACATTGAAACTACCCTGTTGTATTAATAGTAAAAAAAAAAGGCTTACATTGTTATTTATTATTGCCTATGATGGCAGAGCCGCTGCCCCAATGCAACATTTGGTAACAAAAGTGCCATCAGTCTATTTTTTTGAGCTGTCTTTTTTCTTTGTAAGACTAAGCATGCAGGAATAATTGTATTTCTCAAATGTTTTGTTTAGCCAACAATGAATGCTAAATGCATGTTTGTGGTTTTACAGGAACCAAACCTGGCTCCTCTAACTGCACACTGAGAAATGAAGATGCATCAGAGAAGCACTTCATGAAGATTGAAACAGCACCCCTGGCTAAATCTTGCTCCCCATCGCCACAGAACCCAAATGATGAAACTGAGCTTCACATCATAAACATCCCAGAGACTGCCATCCCTTGGTAAACCTAACGATCCACACAGCATGGAGCCTCCTGTATGTTTTTTTTTGTTGGCAAAAGTTTTATAATGTTTATTCTGATTCTTCATATTGCAGCAATGTATCAGTTCACGTTGGCACTAAGAAGACCAGCGTGTTCCTGAGAGGCCCTCAGGGCACCACATGGACCTTCATCAACCCACTGCACACACAGTTTGGTGTAAGCTAACACACACAAACACACACATATATTTGTTGTCTCACAACCAAATGTAAAATAGGATAAATGAGGACACAGACTCCACTCAATAGTAGAGTGATATAGCTTAAAAGGGTTAGAGGATTTCTTACACACAGTAAGCTTTCCCATGCCTGTGAACATGTCATTGTGTGACTGCTGCTGGAAGACGGTCTCTAAGTGAATATTAATAATTTATTTAACCTGGTCTTCTCCTTCTCTACAGTCTAACAATGACATCGTGCTGCTCGCCATCCCACACAGAATCCCGCCTTTAATTACACTGAACAGCGACAATGCAGTGGATGTGCAGAGGAAAGCTTTAGATTATTTCAAAGCCAGTACTTTCACCAGCTACACTGAAGTCAGACCAGAGTATCCTATGGTCCTACTGGTCCTTAGAAACAACGACGACCCTAAAGGTAAGACCATTTCTTAGCTTTGAGGCTTTTTTTACAAAGAGAATAGATGGAGTACTGCAAAAGAAAGCCAAGCACAAAGATGGAACATTTGGAAGATGAGTGCTTGTTAAGCCCGAGAGGCCCCGGTACCGGGGAACTGCCGCAACATCTTGCAGGAAACAGTGTCTGAGGGCATGTTCATTTAATAAAACTATGAATGTTTTATATCCATGTAACGGGAAGAAACTCATCTAACTGATAATTTTTTTTTTTTTTTTAAAAAGAAAACCCACAATGCTAACACTGAGCCTCTGAATTAGCAACGAGCGAAAAATGCTAACACCTTACTGCACCGAAAATCACTCACAAAACCTTATTATTTATCTTTTCACCACATCCAACACATCGTTTCAAATCGTGAGGTGACAGACTCGATTGACACCGACATTACCACTGAATTATACGTATTTGCGACGTTATAAGCAAAAACGGACATCAAAACAGGTGACGCTAGGTAGCTAAAAATGCTAACATTTTTACCTTGGCTCTGTAGTCTCTCTAAAGTGGTCTTCAATGGCATTAAAACGATAAAAACGCTGCTGAAGTTAATCCATAGGTTAATCCAATGTGTCTGTGTCCCTTTGAAATGATTTCTGATAATCCATAAGCATTAAAACTGCTTTTCCGTTTCCAGATGTCAAAGCTAGAGATAGGTTCACTCTGATGGAAAATTACATGCGCATGTGGGGGACTCCCCCTTCGATTCTATTGGCTCTAACAGAAAGAGGTGTCAACCATCAAAATCGAGCAAGGGAAGCCAGAGATATGTCAAATCCACCCAAATGACCCCAGAAATGGTTTCTTTTTGCTAAATCTCTCTAAAAAGGTCAAATGTCACTTGTTTTGCATCAATCTTGATACAGGGTACTTATTATATGTTGTACTTTGGATTCCTAAAGCTTTTAGTCTACTAACCCATCATCCAAGGGTGGTTTTCACTATAAGTAAAAAAGAATTTTTGGACGGACACTATAATTTACAGTTTTTTACTATGTAAAATCTGAATTTTCTTTAAAATAAAAAACATCTATATTGATTCTGACTTTTCTACATCCAACTCACAGGTTTATCATTACTTTGAGAAAAAAGATTATTAATTTAACCCTTTTAGAAGGGAAGATATGGTCATTTGTTCTGGGAATGTCATTTTCGAGCCTGAGACCTGAAAAACAGGCTCAGGGCTTAACAGGTTAATACGTAAAAGTAAACATACATGGCATTTCTTTTGTTGATCTTCTTTTAATTTGATCCATTTTTCCCTCAGTTACAGAAACTGCACCAGCACCAGTTACCCCCACCACCACTAATGCCCCCCACCAGATGCCCCTGCTGATGCAGCTATACACCTCCCCAGACTACCGCTCTCCCATGGACCCTAACACCAAGGTGCAGAGTGACAAGAGAATTTATGCAGAGGTAAGAAATCATTCACCCTCTTCGCTGTATTTCACGCCTCTTAACTCAATGTTTCAAAATCCCTTGAATACGCTTATGTATAATTCTTTATTTCAATGTGAAACACAGTTGTACACTCAGAAAATGCCCATTTGACAGATTATTGTGCTTAGTGTGCTCTTTCCATGCTGATTAACTGTGTTTGTATCTGTTTCTGTTTCCTGTAGATCTCAGGGCATACCTTGGGGGACATTGTGTTGACCATCAAGGTGATCAGCTGCTTTGTGCGCTCCACTGGCTCATGCCCTGTCGTGAAAGAGCTGCCCTTCATGTCAGAAGCTTGCTCTGCAAATTTGTGTCCCAACAGCACCCGACTGAGCTTCTCCTTAGATCAGCTCCACGAACTGACGACCACCACGTGGGACCTGGAATGCTCTGTCAAACTTTGCTACAGTGAGGTAGGAGTCAACATTTGAAAAACACGTCATGACACAACTCTTAACCTGTGTTACAAACTTCCTTTGTTTGCCTAGAATATTTTGTGGTGAAGGTCATTGTAGATCTGTTGTGGTGGGAGACTTTTTTTTAGTCTTAGCCAACAGCAAAAATACTAAAGCTTGAATGTAGTTTTTCACACACTTATGACAAGTGACCTTTTGGGTATGGTTAATAACGCATTTCTTTCTCTGCTTCACTAGAAATGTGGAGATGGAGGAAGAGTGAAGAGGAATCTGGAGGTTACCCAGCCGTGTCTGCAACCACCAAGTGAGTTCAGTTTAAACTCCAAAATATGGATCAGTTAAGTTTTAAGTGCAATTCCCATTCTGCTCATTGGAAGACATTAGAACAAATCCTAATGTGCTATTAGGCAATTAGACTCAGGTAGATACAAAGGTTAGTTCATTTTCTACTCTTTCTCTTCTTACAAAATTAAACTTTCCAGAGAAAATATTACCCCAAAATTCACAAAGCAGTTGAATATTTGGTAGATTATGTGTAGATCATTTTCCTTTTTTGTATTCCTTTTGTGTTTTTTTAATGTAAATATTAACATAATTATAAATAAAAGAGTATTAACAAATTGCCTAGTTCACAGCTAATATAAACATCTGCAACACTATTAAGTAGTTGATAATTTATTTTATTTGTTTCAACAACACATCAAGAAACAGATAAAAAGACAAATTGCTTTTTGAGTAATGAAAATATAAACTCTGAGAACATATATTACCTTATTTTGCCTAAGGACCTAGTTGCTAGTCTGCTTGGCCAGTGAATCGCAAATCATTTTCATCCCAATTGTGGCTTTCAGTGGCGCGCGGGCGGTTGTCATAGCAGTGAACTCAGGATATGCAGTGAAGCCAGTGAGTGGCTGCGGGGCCGGGGCCTCGTCCTTTAGGAAGGTCTGCAGGCTGACCTTGTGGCCACAATCAGAAGTAATGGCCCTCAGGGGAGGGGGGGGGGGTTCCTTTGTGTTTCCAAGGGGTCTGACTGTGTTGCTGTCCAAACACAGCCACTGGGCCTGCTGCTATTGTTGGACCATTCAACACAGTTGACTCAAACAAGGAAAGATGTCATTCTTTAGAGAGAAAATAGGCTCCAGACAGATGATTAATTCAAAGTCGAATTCGAACATTTAAAAAAACACAAAGGAAGAAGATGTTGATTCAATGCGGAGTTCCGTCAGACTTCTTTGGAAGAACTGATAATGGATGTGTTTATTCCTTAAGCTTCCTTTATCCTCCATTTCCTCCTAGAGGAGAAAGATAAGGGTTGGTATGTCAGTGTTGCAGCATACAGTGCTGCTGCAGCAGACTGAACTACTCATCCATGCTTTCCTGTGTCCTGTTTGTCCCCTCTTAGTCTTTGCGTTTTAGCTTGTGCAATAAAAATGTTGTGTTTTCCTGGAGACTTGGAACTGAATCACAGGAATAGTGCTAGTTGTAAAGAAACGTGTCAGGTTAATAGCTTTGTTTATGTAGTTCCTTTCATTATCCAGTGTCAGAGATACAAAGGGTTGTATCGGCTTCATTCCTGTTTGCTAGTGTTCATACAGAGGGCTCTGCCTCCTCCTGTCCACCTGCAGTGGAGCGTCTGCTTCCTGCTCTTGTTTATTCAGCTTTGCTGTCAAAGCCTCACTTTGTACAAACCAACACAGCAACTGATTACAGAAAAAGGTCTCTAGAGAAAGCCTGCAGAAGTTGCTGTGATGTTTCTGGCTCATTCAGGGTCAAGGAATGTTCCTCGTTGACAGATCAACAAACTGGGTTGTCTCTCTGGGATGCAGTCGGAATAAATGCCCACAAGATGTCACTGTTGTGATCTGGGTCATGTTTAAATCACTTGATATTTGTTTGATCAAATGTACAAAATCAGGCTTTGTACTTTCCTAATGTCTTACAGTTCAGTTAAAATGTTCTGATATAGTCATTAAGTTCATTCAGGCTCTTTTCATGAGCAATAATACTGCACAAAGTGGTGACTCGTTTCTACTAAACAAACTCACTCTCTTCTGTCCTTCATGTCCTCTATTTAATGTACTTCAGGACAGGGAGGGTTATAAAGCCCAGTGTAGCACTTAGCCTAGCACATTCCACCAGGAGGCAGGAGGCAGGAGGCAGGAGGCAGGAGGCAGGTGAGAGGAACTCACTAAGGTGATGATTAGTTTCTTCCAAATGTTCTAAATACTTGGGATGATCTCTACAGGTAGCAGAAGAAGTGAAGAAGGAAGGGTATGAGTTTGTGTTTTCTTGATTTGACACAACACACTTCTGTTTTTTGTGTGTATAGCCTTGCATAGCCAAAATATATTCTTATTTGATGATTTTGGTACATAATTTAAGTCTTTACATTTTTTTGTTAATTACTTCCCAGTTCAGTTAAAAATATAACATTTCAAACCTTCCAGCTGCTTTCTGTCAAAGTGATTTAGACATGATCTTGGTCTAAGTTTAATTAAGTTGGTAAAGAATATCATGTTTGTTTTCTGATTAAAAAGCAAAGATCAATGACTGGCGAGTTTTAGGTGAAGTCTGAGTGAAGGGGGAATATATCAGTGATTTATTGCACAGCCTTTTTGAAATGACATCTCTCTCAAGGTAATCCATGCAGGGCCTTGCCAGACCACAATGAGCGAAGCAACACTGTGGGATGGCCTTGCCATGCTCGCCCAGATGTCGATGCCACAGAGCTGCATGTCATGGGCTTGAGCGAGTCTTAGTGTGTGCCCGTTCTCTTACTCTTTCAGAGCTGATTTAAGAGAAAATTATATTTTATTGCTGCTGGCTCAGATTTTTATGTTTTCTATTAAGTTTGTCAGAAATGAAGGACGTTGTGCGGGGCGAGCACACAGAACCATCAATGCCAAACTTGATTGTAAATTTGTATTATTAAATTACAACGGAGACAATGTTCAGTTCAGATGGGTCGAACCCTGCCAAAACAATGTTATATACTGCGTGGGCTTTGCTTAAATTGCCATGGTAACTAGAAGGGAGAAAATGTACTATTAAAAGATATTGTGCAAATAGCATATATTTTACATAGCTGCTGTTTGTCGTTTCTTTAAATCTATACCATCAATATATATCACTATATCTAGTTATCTTTTTTATTTATCTTCATTCAATTGTTCTGTAATTGTGAGAAGGATTTGTTTTTGTTTTAAACACCTTTATTTGTGCATTCCAACAAACTCCTACACCTTGAATTCACAATGCATTTGCCTCAGTACATAATATTCACTAGACACACCAGTACAATTACTGCGTGGGTGTTTTGTTACACTGCAAGAAGATTTGGTTCTGGCAACCGGTACTTCTGGTTTGCTGTACTTCTCAGGAGAAATCAGCCAATCTGATGAGGTTGCTGAAATCTTTGAACTTTTTGCTGTTCCCGAGTGAAAAATAATATTATATATATTTATCTCTGGATCTGAAACAAAGTCTTTGCTTCAACAACTATCATTAAAATAATGATTTTGACACAAATACAAAACAAAATCAGAACATTATTTGTGATTGACCACCTTCTGTATATCAAGAGCATCTCAAGTCATTCTTTGTGGCTTGTACATCTGTGAAACTCTTGCTGTTTTTTATCTGAAGCTTGCATACATTGTGTTGTTTCCTGTGTATGTTTCAGCCCCACCATGCTTTGATTTCCGCCTACCTGGCGTTCTGGGCATTGCATTTGGAGGGTTCCTGATTGGAGTATTACTTATTGGAGCACTGTGGTTTATCAAAATAAAAACAGGTAAATTTTTTTTTAATTTAATATAGATCTAAGTTGATATTCGTCTGTATTTGAAATTGTCTCAATATGATTTCCTCAGGTTACCCAACTGGACTGGACATTAGCTCAACTGCAGCTAATCTTCCTGGTAAGGGCTTTTTTCCTTTTTTTTCATTAGTATCTTTTCTATTTTTTCTAGGTTCTTATTGGCTTCTGTCTCATGTTTCTTCAGGATGTCCTTGCTCAGGAGCTAAACGACAACCAGTTTCTACCAACCCTTCCCCTTCTGAGAACAGTAGCGCCAATGCTAGCATTGGAAGCACCCAAAGCACACCGACCAGCAGCATGGCATGAGACTATGGTCATCTCCACCTCCAGCAGAGCCACTGTCTTCCTTCAAAGTCACTTATACGGGTTATGTGCTGTTTGTTTTCTTTATCAATGCTTAAAAAGCATTTCCACTTTAAATTCTCCTTAAGGAGCACAACTTATGTCTTTGACCCATCAAGCCTGAAATGGATGTGTCCGGGGAGGGTTTTTTATGGTGGATTGGAGTAGCTGCGAGACGGATAACAGAAGTCTAATCAGTGGCCTCTGACGCTCACCTCTGTATCCTCTCTGTTAAGTCAAGCTCCTAGACAGGAAGTTAAAGAGGGCAAGAGGACAAAAAAATTGGCTCCCAGCAACAGGAAAAACAAACCATATCCCCCAAGAGCCTACAGGAAATTCGCTGCATTCCTTCCAATGAATTGTGCTTGCGTGATGGCGGCACAATAATAGTTAACAGGACACAATCCAGTCAAAAGATAGTCTTTGAAAAACAGATGAAAAGCTGTTTTGCATTCACATCTAAGCTTCTTAACTCCAAAGGGCTTCTGGCTAGGTCAGTCCAAAGTGTTATCAACAACGTCTCTGGAACTGAAAGGCTCATCATGTTAGGATCTCAAACCCGCCAATGAAGTGCTCACTTAAAGGGCTATTCGTCTTAATTGGAGTTTGAGGTCAATAGTTAACAGCTACCTCCTGTTATTTAGAAATCTGGAGCTAAGTTTAAACTTAAAACTAGATTTCTCTGGTGAATTTATATTATTTTCTGCTTTATACTTAATTTTATGTTTTATTCTGTGTCACTTTTGGTTAATCTTTTAGTTGATCTTCTGGGTCATTTGTAGCTCACAAAACAAAGTTATGGTGCCATTTTTATGCTATCCAATAGCTGTAAAGATCCTTTTTATGAACGTCTGTCTTTCATTGTTTATTGAAAGTTACATAGAAATATACTTACACTTCTTAATTACTCCATACAATTATCATACATTTTATTATTTCCCTCAAGGAAGCAATACATTATGCACCATTAAGAGGAAAAACGTGTAAGCTGAGATGAAATAATCACTGTTGTAATGCAAATCGCAACATGAAGAGATACATGGCTGTATCCAGAGCTGAGTAATGTGCTTATAATGAGGAGTTTGTACCAAATCTCTGACGTCAGACTTTTGCTGTATAAGGATTAAAGCGCCACTAATACAGCTACGCCCACAGGGTGGAGTTTCCCCAAAATAGTCTGTCTGGATGTTGAATTCCAGCACTTTTCCTTTGCACATATCCATTTTCAGTCCAGCAATATTGCCTGACAATTTGTTGTTACCACTATTTTTAACAATACTAAAAAGGATACGTCTGTGGTAACATCCATACAAACATGAATATGAATGTATTGCATCTCACTGTTTCCAGCCAGGTTTAATCATAATACTAAATTCTATTTTGATACGTGTTTGCCTCACTTTGCAGTCAATTCTGTGGGATGAGAAGCTAATGTTTGTTTAAACAAATGGGTTACAAAACCCCATTTCTGGTGAGAAACTGACAAACTTAGACCTGTTAACTGTATATTAGTCACATCAAATATATACCAAAAAAACAACCCCACCCCAACTTTCCCAATCTTGTACATTTAAACTTCCCATTTAAGTCACCAGTTCTGAATACAGCCTACTTGGACTAGCATGATCAATAGTGAAAACTGTATGAGAGCAGATTTGATATGTATTGCAACTAGATATCCTCATTCACCATTTCTACTCAGACCAATACAAATAAAAGCACACACAATTTGTTAGTTAGATAATCGTGAGCCTCAATTTAATTAATTTTAATTAATTTAAGAAGTAGGTTGGGTTTAATCAAACAACAGACTTTCTCATAGATTCCGCTGTTAGTGTTTAGTCTTCAACAAAAAGTTGAATTATTGTTACATAAGTTATGTACTTAAATAAGTGGGTGTATGCACATACTTTTTTTTAACCCAACCCACAATCAGTTCCTTACCATTACCAAGTAGTTTTAATTGTTAGACATGATCTGCACTGCAGTGTTGCTGGACATTAGTTAAAGAACATTCGAAAAATTGTGAGTGCTTCTTTCGCACGATGGCGTACGGACTGTTGTATGAGGATACGTTAGTTGCAACTACACATCAGTCAATCATTTATGCTTTTCACCCCATGAAGAGTGCTTTAAAACCCAGATGTATTTCCAGCTGTCACACAACATGCCAAATGCTATGGAAATGGACCTTTGTGAGAGACCAGTATAACTTTCTAATGATTCATCTCTGCTAACCCTAAGCCCTGCAGTGCTAAGTCTAGACAGAAGATGCATACATGCATAATAAGGAACTCATGAGAGCTAAAACTGTAGTGACGGTTGATCCGTAAATCCAATATTTGGTTCAATGTAGAATTATTCATGTATTTTCTTTATCGTATTGCCACTCTGTTACCTCTTTGGACATATTCCCAGCACATGTGTTGTGGTATCAGTCAGAAATGTGTATTCACAGTACATAGCTTTGGCACAAGCACCAACATTGTGACTTTAAAATGTTTCTTTATAAACATTTGACTCACTAATCTACTTGTACATGCATATATATAAGTATATTTTCACACTCCCGATAGTTACTTGCCTTCTTTAGTTAAAATAATTTATTCGCCTTCAAATGTAATCACAGAAATATTCAACGTTTCCGAAGTAACTGCATTTCTAAAATGTCTCCTCATTGTATGTGAGCCATGTAGCTTCTTACCCCCTCTCCTGCTCAGTGTGCGTGCATGTACAGTACATTTATCTGTGCATGCCTAATCTCCTTTGTGTATTTTGTGATACGGAGAACAAAGAGGGCCAGTACAAATTTCCACTTGAGTATTTGTGCAATATGATGAGGTAAACTCCTATGTAATGTCTATAAGTAGTTTTTTTTTACCATGTTTTTTATATTAAGTGTTGTATGATATTTTGACTTTGACGCATTTTCTCAACATGCTTTGTTCTTTTACATATTTGGAGAACTGGGACAATTCCTAATCATGGCACTTATCAAATGCATAACATTTGTTTTGTATTGTAATCTCTTTTTTTTTTTTGCCTCCTATAGATTTGAGTTTCAATAATATTGTAGTCACAGACGGTGCTTGTCACATCACATGTCAAAGACAAAAGTTAGACTTTTGCTCACCCTTCAATTCCCCTGCTGTCCAAAATATGGCATATCTCTGCTGATACTGACATCCTGACATTGTTGTGTGTTGTTTTTGCCATCTTCACTGGGTGTGATGGGGAAGTATTCTGAAAGACAGAATGTCTGTCCAAAGACGCATCCCAGGAAGAGTATTCATCACTCACGAACTTCTCCTTCACAGGGAACGCTCAAACTTAAGAGTGAAAAGGTTTGGCTGGTGAGAACTTTTTTTCATTTAATTTTAAGATATCTTTTTTTTTAAATGTCAGGTAGTCCGTACCTGTGTTAAACCAGTCCCAGGGACTGACACCTTCTGTCTGAGCACTGACAGTAAAATCAGACAGGCTGCCAGTTTATTCACCTGTAGATCTTCGTTACCTCTGACAACAGCTTCCTCCACAATGGACACGGTTGTCTCTGTCTGTGTGTGTGTGTCTCTATGTGTGTCTGTCTGTACAACAAACTATACCTACATTTATGTGAGCAGATTCTTTCTCCAGCCCCTAACAATGTCCAAATTATGAATTCTTATTAAAGAAGCCTGAACAACATGTCAGAATGTCTCCTTAGATTTTATCTAGTATTACATGCAGAGTAACTTTTAAACCATTTAAAATAGAGTTCATTTCTTGAGACAATACTCAACTGATGTCATGTACCTTCATGTTGTCTGTGAACCAATATATGTTTTGTCTACATTTATCTTAATAAAGTGAATATGACAAACGTTATTTGAGTTTTCTGGTGTCTGTCTCACAGCATAGCGGCATTGTAGTGGGTAATCACATTATGTGGGTTTGGAAAGCAGAAGCTCCCCGGATCTCCAGGGACAAGTTATGTCATAAAGTAATACAAAAGCACATTTGGAAGGTCTAGAATTATTACACATTTTAAAATGTTTAAACAACAGTGACAAAAAGTAACAAATACAATGATTCTGTATTTGCTGTAAACTGCTAAATATTGTTGAACATGCTGTGGAGAAAATGTCCTGTTCTCAGTCTGGTGTTGTCAGATACGAACGCTGCGACACCGTCACTTGAGGACTTGTTGCCTCTAAACTAGGTGCAAGCTTCCTCCGTTATATTCTGTGTTACTGATATGATGACACTTCCACATGAGAACTGTTAGCTTAGAGAGACTTCTCACATCATTAGCGACAAAGATGAAAAGTTGCCTTCTACCCAAGAAGCGGACATGTCTGGTTTGGCCTATTTACTAATAACCGGGATTCTCACAGTTTAAACAGATCAAATCCAAAGCCTACACAACAGGAGTCGAGATAAGAACCTGAAAAACAAGATCTTAGGAAAGAAAATCCTACATTGTAACATTATTTTCTCACCATCCACTTTTGAGGAATTTCTCAGTAGCTGATTGAATATTCTCATCCTTTACAGCGAAAGTGAAATTAGCAAGATTAAAATGTCAAACAATACACCATTACAGGTAAAAGTCCTGAAATCATCATGCTACTAATGCACATCCATAGACGGATAGTACAAATGTACTATAATATATATACTGTATACTTATCGGCCTCTGAGTAAACATGACAATTACCTTGATACATGATATTCTTTACATTTACTTTGTTTATCTTTTTATTTTTATTTCTCACACACATGCTCTAACATTTTTTAATGTGGTTCCTAATATGTGTAGTTATTAAGCTCTTATAATTATGCAGAAAGTGTTATCATTTGGTGTTATTACATATAATCGGATAGAGCAGAGCGTGCCAAATGAGTGACGTGAAACACAATGAGCTTAAAGAAATGAAAGCATTACACTATAATGGTGTTATGAGTCATATATTACCTTTATTGTAAGGAGAAATTATAACCATAATTGTGTTTTCTTTCATGGATAGCCTTTCCTAAGGTTTCAAATGTTCCTTCTAATATACAAAATCTTATTTCAGGACTGGAGCCAAGGCACACAATACATGTTTATGGGCTGCCGTCATCTCCAGATACGACCATGGAACCATTTGGCCTTCAGAGGCTGGATTATGTGACGCCTTTGTGTGTGTCCTTTCAGGCTTACCAATTCAGCTTTACATCTCTGCACACATCTTTTCTTTTCTACAAAAGTACATAAATCATGCAACAATTACCTAAGGGCAAAACCTTTCATCACAGCTCTGTAATAAAAGAATGAAGGTGTAAATCAGAGAAAAGGGATTTTCCTTTTCTCTTGGTGGAATCAAACAGTCTAGGGTCTTTCTGAATAAAGAAGCAGGCATCGGTATTGGATGGAGCTATGCACTTTAAGGATATTGCTTCTATATAAACTCTCTGTCTTTGAAATTGATTGTAAAAAATATAGCCACTATTTTCAAAAGAAGAAACGGAAACAAGTACAGATGGTGATTATTGAAAGTTTGTTGGTCAGTTCATAGCCTCAAATCATTTAACAAGTGGCATTGGGGTTCATTATTGTATTTACTATGTGTATTATGCATACTGACATCGGTGAGTACAATTAAATAATACACTTTTCACATGTCAACTGCTTTGCATGTTCAAAAACGCGAAAATGTATATGGATGCTGCTTGAAGGGGAAACCAACCTTTAACTGACACTAACAATATCTGTTGTAATAACCATGCTGCAACATTAAAAGGCCACCACAGAAAAGTACAGTGAGAGTGAAAGAGATAGGAAAAATGGGATTATACAAAGAGAGCTGAGCTGAGCTAGGGTGAAGAGACAGGTTGCTCGCAGCTGAATAACAGCAAAGGCATTGTGTTGTCCGTAACCTTCAATACAATTGTCTTCATAGTCAGAAGGTAGAATGATGATTCTATTTCCTCAGAGTAACTATGGAGTTATTCAAAAAATGACTCACATAAATACTAATATCATAGTTTTACATTTTTGTCTGGTTTTTACTCAATTTAGGGGGTTCATTTCCCACTTAAAAATATATAAAAAATGACTCACTATCGTACTGTTGATAGCATAATTCACTATTATCTGTGAATTACTTAACCGGCTAACTGACACAAATACATATCTTTCATAAACCTGCTTTGCAAAAATATCTTTTATTAACAGAGCAAATTATAAAGTAAAATATATTCCTAAATAAATATGATAATGCAATTTGTTAACATCTTATTATTTTAAGTAAGAATATACAAATGGGAGAACATGTTAATCAACATTGAGTTGAACAATAATCCTGAAATGATTCTAGACAGTAAAGGTCAAGTGTTTAATTGTATGTCCCTGAGCAGTGCATAAGTACTCAACAAACTGTCAATTGTGTAGAGTTAACCTGCGCCTATAATGAAATAAAAAAGAGAAACTATCCCAGCATAACTTTCATTATAGTGTTAGATTTGCCTGGAACGCTGCATAATGAGTGGCTGCAGGGAAACGTCCCATTACATTTAATTACTCTGATAAATGGACTACTGCTTACCACCACTAGATGGTGCTATATTTTCTACTTTCTCTAAATACATAGATTGTTTATGAACAGAAGAAGACAATGACCCTCATTGTAGACCAAGTTACCGTGCACATTTAATGAAAGCCGTTATAAATACTGTAACAACATAATAATATTGTCTTTTGGAAAGGATGACATGGAATCAAAATGACTGACACATCTATTTCTAGACGTTGTTTGCACTTAAGATAATCGTAGGACTACCTATTTAACCACCTTTTTTAGAATCAGGTTCGCAAATCTGTGACTGATCCTGACATGAAGCCTATAAAGCCTGGAGGGCATGTTGAATTCAGGAAGCTACATGAGAGCATAACTGGAGCTGCTCGGAGTAAGCCGCCTCTCCCTCAGACTTTCACACCCTGAGGCGATGTGCTGCACACAAGGTTGTTTACAGACACCAGCCCTGTGTACAGGCTCAGCCTCTCTCCCCATCTTTCACATACACTCTCAAATTCATTCCCTCACAGGCAAACCATATACCAGCCCACACCTGGCTCTGCCTCCACAGCCTGGACAGGGCTAATCCTCAAACTCATAGGCAGTGTGGGTGCTCCGAGCACATCCCTTTCCTTCAAAATGCAGACACCTCTGGAGCTGCGGCGCAAACACCTCAGAGGTGTTAACAACATCTTGTCTTCTTTTATGTTTGCTCCCTTTGCTTCATTCCCTTCCACTCCTGCCTAACTATTTAACATGTTTAAAGAAATGTCCATTACACACAGGATCTGCTATTTAATTACATGTTGATTTGTTACAATTAGGCGTGTTACAGTTTTCACAAAATAATAAGCCCTACAATATGTGTTATGTATCTAGTAATATCATCACCTGCATGAAAGTGAACAGGGTGTAGAGCGAGAGTGAATACTGATGCATGCAGCGTAGGCCTGAACCTTTTTTCCAACTTATTTTATATGTATCCAGTTTTAATTGCTGAAAGGATAGTTATTCTTTGAAATCACCCTTTGAAGCTTTTATCACTGTGATGTATATTTTAAACAGAAGTCAAGTGCACATCTCAATCCATCCGTTCACCTGATTGGGATCCACAACACTGAGCAGAAACTCCAGCTTCAATTTGATGCTAGTGGTCAATAGATCCCACTTCTGAAGTAGTTTTACCTCCAAATACCCTTGCTCGTCTCCTCATCTAAAATTGCCAGGTTGTCAGCGGTGCTGAAAGTCATTCTTTCAAGTGAGATACCCAAAAGTGGGGCCTGAAGCATTTATTTTACTGCCGTAAGCACTGCCATTCCACAACCCCACCTTTGTTTGCAGTGTTTTACAAGAGTAATGTTTTTCCTTTAAACCGACTGTTGGAGTGAGACAGAGGGTGAGCTTCTTGAGCTTCTTTCCTGGTGATCCAGCTGGTGTGTAATTGGCCACAGCTAAACGCTTTATAGGTATTGGGTTTTGTTTTCTCTTCTGGGTTGGCTCTTTGCTTACTGCCACAACGGATTATAGTTTTTTCATCTTGGTAGCTCTCTCCTTTAATGGCTAATGCTGGACTCTCTTTGAGAACTTTTCAGTTTACCACTTTCATTTAGCATATTGGACTGGCGGTGTTTCTGCTTATTATGTGTAGCTATGCAAGTGATTTCAGACAGACACCGATGGAAGTTAATGAACAGGCAACATTTATAGCCAAACCTACATTCAAATGCAGTTACATCAACGTTTGTACCTGGATAGGAACAGAATATATTAGACCGTTACACAGTTAATCTTAGCAAACTATATAAGATCAGCATAACAGCTAAATAAAAAAAACAAAATAAACATCCAATGGCAAGCCGATTTAGCTTTTATTCATTTGTGGAGGATATCAAAAAATATATTCTTACTAGTAAGAATGTGAATTATTGATATCAAAAATTCAATTCTTACTAGTAATAATGTTTATTTCTGATATCAAAAATAGAATTTTAACTAGTTAGAATGCAAATTCTTGATATCAGAAATTCAATTGTAACTTGTTGTAATGTGTATTCTTGATATCAGAAATGCGATTTTAACTAGTGAGGTTTGAATCGTTTTTCTCATTCATTTCAATGGGAGTCCAATTTCTGATATCAGTAATTCAATTGTTGATATCAGAAATACAATTTGAACTAGTTCAAAATCCTTTTTTGATATCAGGAATTCAATTGTAACTAGTTATAAATAAAATTTGAATTATAACTAGTAACAATTGAATTCCTGATATCAAAAAGGATTTTGAACTAGTTCAAATTGTGTTTCTGATATCAACAATTGGCATTTCGA